TATATATATATAAATTGATGTATTGAATATTGAATATGAGATTGATAGCAAATTCACGTACGAGCGATCACAATAACTTAATAAAAATTTTATATATTATGTCATTAAGATTTTAGATATTGTCGTAAGAAGTGTAAGCCAAGAGATCGCATAATGATCTGTCAGTTGTATACGAGAATACTAACTTTTATGCCTTACGTTCTCTCGGCACATTAAAATAAAGATAACAGGAAATTTGGTTCAAGTTAAAAATTAATTAAATGAGAAATACGTATCTTATAAAATATCAAATATTCGTCTGATTAACTTTCTTCTTTCAAACAGACAGTATTACATTGGGGGGCAAAGTACGGCAATGCTGAGATAATCAAGATATTTGCTGGACGATATCATGTGGATGTTAATGGAAAGACGGTAATGTATACTGGAAACTATTAAATTATATTTTACCAAATAAAAAGGAAGACCAAACCACTCACTATGTTTGTTTTGATTAATACTTTTAGGATGTAATAATACTAATGTATAATTTTACATTCTCATTGTCATTAATGTATTTTATTTAAATTGAAATCATCATAATTGTTTCTAATATGTTGTTTTTCTGTTGTTCTCGATGGATTTGTCGTAACCTGAAATGCTCACGTTCGCCTTCTGAATAGAATGGGGTAAGTACAAAGTTGCAAACTTATAAATATTCGGAAAATTATTAATTTGTCATCATGTCACAGTTTTATGACCTGAAATCATTTTTCGACTATATCTTTATTATCTATACAGGGTGTACTAATATTCGGTGGACATAGAAGTACCACGTATGTTCAGACTCAAAATATGTCTATTGGACATGATTTACTTTCATGCAAGTTTTCTTTTTAAAACAAATTTTTCCAGATATTTTCAGAACCGATAGTCCGATTTTAATGAAATTTATAACGCATGTTCACCTAGACGTCCTAATATTTGACTTTTAAAAAAACTCTTAAGGGTTCAATAAAGGTGAAACTACCTAACCCCTCCCCCCACATAAATTATAACGGACTTTTTGGCAACTTCCTCGACAACTCTAATTTTTTTTTTTAGGAGATCTTTTTATTTACTTCATTTTCGTCTCCTATAAAAACAGGCGACCTCAGATAGTTTTCGAGAAAAAAAATGAGTTGGAACGAGATGTTGGCAAGCGTCTTATCAATTATTTAAGTGTACTTATTACAAATTAATATAATATACGAATCATGAAATGTGTTGAATATGACAACATTTTCCTTCCAGCACATAACAATGTTGCGCAAGAAATTTCTCTAGGATTTCCCACAGTGATCGGTGTTGTCTATCTGGAACTCATAGGCTGCCCTTATAAAAAAATCGCAAGTATGAAGATTCAGGGAACAAGGTGGCCACTGAACAGGGAGTTCTTGACATCTACCAATCCATTAACAGTCAAAAGTAAACTCAACCATCATCACTTATTAATTTAAACTTTATCAAGCTTGTTGTAAAAAATAATTACACTGGCCTAACATCCTACATTTCCTCCACCAAAATAATTAAAAAGCCAGCTTCGAAAACATTTTTTTTTTCGAAAAATATACGAGATAGCATGTTTTTATCAAAGACAAAAAATGAAGTAATTAAAAGGATGTTTTAAATAAAAAGAATTCAGAGTAGTCGGGAAAGGTACGTAATACTTCTACGTCCACGTAGTATTGGGACACCCGGTATAGAACAAATGTTTAACGTTATGTCGGACGTATATAGGTGTAGGTTTGATCTATTCTCTATAAGAGTCTTTCGTTTCGATCTTGCCATTTAGGAGAATGCCTGTGTCGATCAGATCTCGTACAAACGTAATTACCGCGTTAAAAAAAATCGTCCTTATGAACATTCCATGCATTCTATGCGTACCCAAAAAAAAGCGGCTGGTGCCGAGATAACGTATTTATGGGTTTTTTTCTGACTTGCTGGAACCGAGCGCATATTTTCAGTGGAAAACGGCTGCGGTGGCCCTGATTTATACATCGCTCTGTATATTATCAACGACAAAGATCTCGTGTAGGACAAATTTTAGTGAAGGGAGAACACCGGTAGCGCGTGTATTCTTTTTATGCAGGGCTAAAAGATAAAGTCTCGGATGCATATACACGTAAAATAGGGCATCAGCCGCTCTCAACCTCTGAGTATTAGGCATAATAATTTTAAAGATATGACATTCCGTGCTTTGTATGCCTTAATAGCCAACTGACAGCCTTCTAGGAATATTCCGTTTTCTGATTCCGGAGAATTGCGCTGACGTGTGCGTTTCTATTAGATTTATTTTCATTTCATGCATATTTTCAAGTTGTCCGTAATTCGTATTCGACAAGTTACTACTGATGGTTAATAGGATAACCGAATGTTCACTCTATTTCCTCTGTTCTTTTTTAAACTTTCCTCGGAAATGTCATGTAATGCGAAATTATTCTCTATAATCGTTATTGATATACATCAAAGGCAAATATATAGTTGCTGCATAAGATTGTCAAACGCACAGAATTAACAAACGATAATATTCGGTCCTGCTGGCCTAATGTTGCATAATAAACGATTAATGATGAAAATGATACTTCCTGCATCTTGACGCGAGCTAATTAAAATCAAGATAACCACCGGGCGTTTTGTAAAAAATCCACCTGCCACTTGAATTCTTAACGACCATCTAAAAGACGACCACCGATTTCATTCTAGTCCAGTGCATGAGAGCTATTGAAGATGCGTTTTCCTCAAATTTCTTCTGATAGCAATATTCCCAATTGTTTTCAGTTTATGCATACCCTAGAAAAAGATAACACTGCGAGACTCGGAAAAGCTTGTACATTATTGCTAATTTTAACGAATAGCTCGTTATAAAATGTTGTTAATATCATAACAAACACTTTTTAAAGATAGCACGATCTCCACATACCATATAGATTATCAATTAAAGTTATTCGTGTTTCCCTACTATTCTAAATCTTTTGAAATTCCCTGACGGTTTCATATGACTTGGATTTTGCAGACCAGACTATACAGTTATAAATAAATTACCGGTAATTTGTGGTTCACGCAAACAAGTCCCATAAAAAGACATCGTATTATGATTACCGTTGTAAAAAACACAAGTTTATCGCCTATGATAACGGCAGGCAGATTAATACGAAATTATCCTCTGGCTGGGGTATTTCTTTGTTTTATGACTTAATTTGCCGAAAAGGTGTAGTTAATTTCGAAATTGTATTATCGGTTGATGGAACATCGGGATGTATGTTTGGCTGATGTAAAACGTACATTGGCGTAGAAAGAGAGAGCAATAGTAACAGGAATGCTCTTTAGACTTGAATAGTACAGGGTGCGGCAGAGAGGACGGACGTTTTAGGGATGGGTAGTACTCTCCGCCTCCATCTAGGAGAGAGGTGGAGAGGGTGCCGTTTGACTCGTGAGATCCTAGCATTATTTTACCAGTTGTCGTTATGGAGCCTTGGACGGTGGAGCACCGCGTTTTCGCCTATGATTGTTTCGTCCGAAATAATGAGTCAGTCATCGTCGTACAGCGTGAGTTTCGTCGCCATTTCAACATTCATCGGATTAGAGCTGTTCCCTCTCGAAACACCGTCCTTCGTTGGGTTGAATCACTTCGCAGGCGTGGTGAACTGATCAACAGAAGACCAAGAGGAGCGCCGCGAACAGTTCGAACTCCTTAAAATGTTGAACGCGTTCGACAGGTCTTCCTTCGCAGTCCGACTCGATCTGCCCGGAAACATGCTGCTGCACTTCGCCTTAGTGATCGCTCGGTAAGGCGAATTTGGCATATGGATCTCCGTTTTCACCTCTACAAATTGGCCATTGTGCAACAGTTACAGCCTGGAGAGTATGCACAACGAGTGAACTTCGCACGTGAGATGGAAGCGATGTTCATTGGCCTCCTCGGTCCCCAGATTAATCCATATGCGATTTTTTCTTATGGGGACAAGCCCCGAACTCTGGACGAATTGAAGGGCGAAATTCGCGTGGAAGTCGCCCAAGTTGATAGAGCGATGTTGGAGTCTACGCGAACTTCCAAGAACGCCTCCAGCACTGCATCAACGATTTCGGCCACCACATGCCTGATGTGATTTTCCACACTTCTTGACTGTCTCAAATGCTATTTCCTTGTGAACCTGATTCCATCAATAAATTTGTTTTCGAGTAAAAATTAACTATTTTATGTTTTTTTTAAAACCGTCTCCATCCTCTCTGCCGCACCTTGTATTTGTTTGTCTCCAAGATGCAGATCCATTACAGATAAAATTTTATAGAGGACAAATAAATGAAGAGCTCGCGGAAGGGTAAGCCCTTGTGCTGATGTAAAAAACTTACGAAACACTTATTTAATAACGATGATGTAACACAATAAAATGGTTTTCTTTATTCTAATGTAACATATAAGTGATGTACCTATATGTATCAATTCGTGTGAAAATGCCATATCTGTATGTAGGTAAAGTATCGATTGGATTACTCATAGAATTGGTATCAATTGGTATTGGTAGATATTAATCACCAAAGGATAACCTGTGCGTGCCCATTACATCCAATTAGACTAGAACTAAACTGACAGATTTTAAAAACACAACATTACAGATAGTTTGAAGTGCAAACTTCACTTTGTGACTTTTCAGACGATCCTGATAATTTTCGTAAACATTTTTTGATGGTTAGGGGTTGCATAGGATGGACGAGGATATATTAGACATATCTCATTCATCACAGATGGCCACACCTCTCCGTCCAATGATACCGTAGTAGTTTAAGTGACATTGAACAATTTATTGCAAAATATAATATTTTTATTAAATTCTCGATCAGTAATCCTGCTATTTTTTTCACGGTGTTTTCCCCATTTCAAGTTTTCATCGAGGACGATGCCTAAATATTCTAACTCACTGGTCCGTTTGATAGCTATTGTGTTGTTAGTACTTACATTAATATTTAGAGTGTCGTATTATGGCAAATGATTTTTGTAGGAAGGAAAGCTGGTTTTTGCGAAATTCACAGTCCATCTTATCTTCCAGGGTTATACGCCGTTACATATATCCGCCCAGTTTGGTCACAAAGAAGTATTCAAGCTGCTCATTGAAGTTTATAGTAAGTATTGTAATTTTGTTCAGATAGTATTTTTCGAAAATACTTGTTTACGTAATAAATAGATAATGTCGATAATATGCCGGTGTTCATTCAGGTGAGGCAAAATGTAAAAATTTAGTATGTTAATATCACGGGTCATAATCATAGATGTTACTGGCCTAAGATCTGTGAGAACCCTTAACAACGGTTTTCTTCATGGACATCAATGGCGATAAAGAATATTTTTGTACCCATTTCCATTTAAAATGTTCCCCTTGGAATAATTCCGTTAAATTATAATGGCGATGCTAGACTTTGTCAGTAGCCTAAAATTCAAGGAATTAGATATTCAAAAGATTATTCCTGCTCTTGTTTCGTGCGATGTTTACTGAAAACCTTTACATTTTTTATTGTACAGAAGCAGATCCAAATATTCGCGACTACAGCGGCCGAACAGCGGATTACTACTTGATGTCGAAACAGCAGCAAAAAGGGATGTCCGGCCATCACGTGACTTTGCGCAGTGAGTACCCATCAAAATCGAGATCTTTGCGGCATAGCAAAGTAAAGAGCAAAAGCTTTCGCAGCAAGCACATCTCCGCTCCGGTCGCCGTCTCTAATCCTTAACGGAACAATGCCGCTTGTACAGGAAAGAATAGAGAACGGCATCGGTAGCTCAACTTTATTCGAACACTATGTATAATTTGGTGTTTTACTCTTCAGGTCGACTTGAAACGTTCAAATTAACCAGACGATTGTCACGTAATTTTCGATAAACTTGTATTGAATTATAAAACAGGTTGAATTCGACCTTACGTAAGTGATCTTTTTGACGCTTTCTTAGCGAGTTTAACAGTCCGCATGACGGTCTTATCAACAGGACTTAGTTTTTTTGCGTAGGAATTTTTTATTATATTCATGAGACATAGCTAAATAAGGTTACATTAAAGGTTGGCCTTAGACAGGGTGTCCCACTATTCCGGGGACATTGAAATACCACCTCTTTCTAGACTCAAATTGAGTCGATTGGACATGATTTACTTCTACACAAAATTTCTTCGTTTGTGCGTTTCTTTTTAAAACTCGGATATTTTTGAAAGCGGCAGTCCGATTTGAATGAAATTTGGAATATGTATGTTTTGCTAGACGTTATATTTGATTTTACAACCCACTCTAAAGGGTTCGAGATGAGTGAAAACTACCCCAACCTCTACATAAATTACTGCAGAATTCTTTCGCAACTTCCCCGACGATTCTTTGTTTTTTTTTTATTTAAGAGGCCCTTTTGTTTACATACTTCATTTTTTGTCTCTTATAAAATCAAGCCATTTGGCATAGTTTTCGAGGAAGAAAATGTTTTTCGGAGCAGGTTTCTAAAAAACATTCTCACTTCATCAAATTTGTTGCGTATTGAATAAATTGCAACATGTAATATCATACTTGTATATCTTCGCTAACTAAACTTGAAGATTTAATCAGACTCTTGGGAACCTCTTTATGCAACTCATTTATTTTCTCGAAATCTATCCGGGATGGCCTGCTTTTATAGTAGACTAAAAATTAATCAAATAAAAAGGTCGGGAAAGCTGTCAAAATATTCTGCCATAATCTATAATAATGTAGTTTTTACCCTCCTCGAACCCATTTTTAGTCTAAAAATACGTGGTACTTCTATGTCCATGGAATATTGGGGCACCCTGTATACGCTGTAAAATATCCAAGATACTCTCACTATAACTTGAAAATGTCTGTTGTTCAGGTGGACTTGCTTTTATGTCGTTGATGTAGTATTTGCTGTCTCCAATAAATGAAGGTATTGTTGTTGGTGTATTAATGACATTTTCCAGTTTATTACAAACAACATGTATACATTATATGATTCATCATTTGTCCTATATTACAATTAGAGCAAGTCCGATATGAGCCATTACAGATATGATATACTCGTATGTATGTTTGAACTGTTATTGTTGAAAAGGTCACTTTTTTTATCTTTTTTCAAGTATTCGTATTCTATTACATAGCTGGTTTTGCAATACCAGTCAAATAAAATAAACGTCAATTAAACAGCTAATTAATTAGTAGAAGCAAATTCGAAAAGAAACAATTGAGACGTTCTTGTATCAAGTATTATTATATCATTGTCATCATGATTATTTTAACTAGGATTTAATCTTTGGAAATGAATCATTTTGGTTTAGATTTCGTATTCACGTTACATCCGTAATATGTAATTGAATATGCATAGTAATGAACATTTTCTATCAAAAGGCGAATACAAACAAAGAACAAAAAATAAAAATTCGATTACGGAGGTTTTAAGAAGAGTATTTTTAAACACGAGATACTCTACTGAGAAATTGCACAAAATGTATTTTGCTGTTTTTAAGGTTATACAGCATAAAATGTAACGTTTAGTCTTAAAACAATTTTATTTTCGCATAATATTGATTCCCATTCCCCATACAAACGAACATTGACAATAGACCTTCGCTATGAGGTGTTTTACAAATGAAGAGTGTTATATAACCTTAAAAATAACGATAACTAGTATTTCAGTACTCTTACTAAATCAATGCCGCGACCTACACCTATTTGTTACTGCAATTTACTAACCGTTTTCACTGAGTATTATGCTTTACTAGTCAATTTATATTGTTAGTACCTAAATCGTAATATAAAACGAATATTTTCATTTCTCTTAACATTTATTGTTGTCCGTAATATTATATGCAAAAACTGTAGTTGCAGTATTTGTTACACCAGTGGGCTTATATTTCTTTATGTGGATCTAGCATTAGATAGATATAGTCTTTGTTACATTTTTTCTGCTCGGATTTTTGCAAGCATGTCTAGTTATAAATATTATGATTATGTAGTTATTATATGCATGCTGATGGTTGCCTAAAGTTGACCTAAAAATAAATTTGATCGAAATTTATTTGTTTTGATTTTTCTTTTGCAGAAATAAAAGGAAGAAAGAAGCAGTCAGGTAATAAAGCTATATTTATTTTCATAACGTAAACATAGTCACGGCGAGAGGCGCGTGCTTGCTATAACGATCGATTTAATTCAATAGCAGAAATGTAACATACCGGCAGGCTCATTACCTAATTTCCAACCGACCGACAACCGACTCGAGTTGATCGATAGTTGCTATCAAACGCAAATTTCGTATTATGTATCAGTCGGCGTGTCTCAAACGGCGACCGGCTACGGTGGCGCCTCTATGGAGCAACTGGTGAACGAAAAGTGCATTCTTTTGTTAGGAGTTTCAAAAAATTGCTATTGACAGCGACCCATCAGCAACTTACTAGCGATTTGAACTGTCAAATTAACAACTGCTCAGTGGCACGAGTAGTCGACTAGTCGGTCGCTAATCGGTTGCTAGTGTTTTATTTGGACAAATTTATCAAAACTATTCATTTTTTTAACAAGAAAGGTAAATATAACAAGTTCAAATAAGGAAGAAAATAGCTTGACGAGTCTAACAAGTGATTGTATGCTCCCAATTTGTATTTTCAGCAATTTTGATTCTCTGGATGGCTCGTGCATTTTTACTTATATGGAAGCATTGGAAAGCGAAAGAATGCACGTTCAAAGACGGCAAACTTCTCGCCTACGACGTATTTTTCAGTATCTATGACTTGAAGTTCATATTGATTATCAAATAAGCTTACTTACACCTTCCTACCACAGAATAAAAACATATTGGTTTTAAGTATTAGCAGTACTTCTGGTGCTGGCAGCTGGTTCCTGCCAGAAACATATTGGCATGGGTTATTTACATGGGCTCAGTCAACCTAGTGTATCCAAAGCACTACATCATCCAGACATTCTATCTAAGCATATTTACTTCCCTCAAACACTGTCAGAGAGGATAGTAATTATATTGCCATGCATATTAAGAAAGTGAGATTGCATATCAAAATTGTATGGTGGATCATTTACTGAGGAACCAATGAGTTCAGCTACATCAAGAATTTTCAACACATGGAAGTTTACATTACCTGATGAAAATTCCATCGCTGTGGAAGTTGAAATTTCCTATTAACAAGAGTAACAAGTCAATATTCATCGATCCTAAGATCAATACCTCAGACTCATTATCTGTAAGATTAACAATACGGCAACAAATCCGAGTCTTAATATTTCACATATACTAAGTGACATATAAATCCGAACACCCAGTTTAAATGGTTTTATTTTAATAAAAGTTGGTGAATGTATTTATCTTACTGTAAATAAGAAGTGAAAAAAATTTCAGCCTTATCAGTTGGACATTCCGGTTTTTTATACTGCTTTTTTTTAATTCACTAACGCTCTAAAAATGAATATTTCAGCCGCAGTAAAGAATCAACGTTGGCGGATTTTGGTTCTTGACATCCTTTACGATCGGTTACGATGCCTAGAGTACGGAGACCTGTACGATTTCGTCAACTTAGTGTATTTGATAGGGGCCGTATAGTGGGACTTCGGGAAGCTGGACTTTCTTTTCGGGCAATTGCAGTTAGAGTGCAAAGAAGTGTAGACACTGTGGTTAGGTGTTGTCAGGCATGGCTTCGAGAAGGCCGTACGCAAAGAGCAAGGGGCACTGGACGCCGCCGTAGAACAACAGACCGTGAAGATCGCCGCCTAAGATTATTGGCCTTAAAGGGACCGTTTCTCCACTACCAGGTCCATTGCAAATGAATGGTTTGCAGAACACGGAAGACCTATTGGCATGCGAAGTGTTTACCGACGGATGAGAAGTTTTGGCTTGTTTTCCTCCCTTTAACTCGAGAACACCGACGTAATCGCCTTGAGTGGTGCAGACAACGGTCACTCTGGGATCAGGAATGGAACAGTATTGTCTTTAGTGACGAGTCTCAATTTTGTTTAGGCATACACGATGGTCGTGGCAGGGTTAGAAGGCGACGTGGTGAAAGGGGGAATCCACAGTTTTTTTGTTGAAAGACATGCTCATCACACTGTTGGAGTTATGGTTTGGGGTGCTATAGCTTATGGTTCCAGGTCACCTTTAATCTTCATCAGAGGTAACATGAACGCGCAGCGTTATATCCACGAAGTTCTAGAACCCCATCTTTTACCCTATCTTGACACCCTGGCAGATCCAACTTTCCAACAAGATAATGCCCGACCACATGTTGCAAGAGTCACAATAGACTTCTTTCAATATAATGATGTCACATTGTTACCATGGCCACTAAGATCTCCCGACTTATCCCCAATTGAGCACGTGTGGGATATGATGAGTAGGAGATTGCTTAATTTGCAACGTCCTCCTCAGACCCTAGAAGCACTTCGAGAGGAGTTGGTGGTTGCCTGGAATGAGATACCACAGGAGGACATTGACCACCTGATCAGAAGTATGCCTAGGCGCGTTGGAGAATGCGTAGCACATCAGGGTGCATCCACACATTATTAAAGGTCAAAGGGCTTTAAAGCAGTGCAATCATTTTGACATTTTTATCATTTACTTATTATGCTTCATTAAGTACTTATACAAAATTTTATTAAAATAAAACCATTTAAACTGGGTGTTCGGATTTATATGTCACCTAGTATATTTTAGGCAACATACCGATTTCAGCACTAATACATATTTATTTTGACTTCCTTTACTTGTAATTATTGTTATATGCCTGCTTGACGATGAGTAATAATGAAAGATATATTTTTACAGGTGATTCTGGACATCCATTAAGAATCGCTCTTACCAGAAATACCATAGGGCGATGCGCAGGAGTATTAAAATTTGTATTATCTACTGTATCGAACATTTTAAATTTCCATGAAATAATGTTCGTTGTCATATGCTTATGCTTACAATGTATATCATTTTTCGATTTATAAATACCACATTGTTTATCATCGTATGTCACTTTAGTTCCACCGGTTGCTACTCGATTGCTAGTGGCACTGTTTAGGTCGCAAAAACTGCAATCAATGACAGTTGGGCAACCGGTTGCCAATTTCTTTAGCGAATACGAATTTTTCGGTCGGTCGACAATTGGTCGCAAGTCGGTTGGTGGTCGGTTGCTCACCGATCTGAGTTGGAAATTTTTACGTAAATAAGCCTGCGGGTGTTTCAAATTGGACCCTCACCTTTGGGATCTCGGAAACTGTAAAAGATACGAAGTACCTTTAATTAGAACGTTTCGAAATTTAAAGTTGATACTTCCGAAGAGAGAATTTTCCCAAAATAATTTTTGTTTTTCTTCACTTTATTTCAAATGGGATTTTAAAATAAATTACATGTTGTCAATGATTTAGTATCCTGTACAAGATGGTGTAGTCAAATTTTCAATTCGAGGTTTCTTCTTTCAATTTCCATCACCTTTTTTTTTATATGGACGTTATATTGGAAATTTGTACATTTAAATGGAGTTTTCAGACCTAAATTCTGTGATATATTTGCTTAGATGAAACGTGAACACAAAACGAACATTTTATTGATGGTAATAACAGTGATAATCATAAATAAGCAGAGGTAAATCATAGCAGATGTTCAAAATGTTGTCAGTTATTTTGTAGACCTAGCTTGACTATTCTCTGTACATTGCTCACTGCTCGATTTATTTCCCTTTTCTGACTTCCAACCTCTGTCACTATATTCAATTTGAGGTCTGGTCTGGTAATTTCAAAAACTTCTATTTTTTTTTTAATCAGAATTAAAAACTCCATAAGCAAAAATAAAGTGGATGCTGGTGGACAAAAGACGAAATGTCATATTGAAATTATAGTTATGCCATACTGTATAGGAGGAAAAGTGGCGATGTTAATGTGCGATTTATTTTTAAATCCCACTACAAACGAAGTCGTGAAAAGTCAAAACTATTTTGAAAGAATTCAGTCTTTTATATCTTTCTCCGGAAGTAACTTGGATTTTAAAACTTTCTAAGCGCCGTTTTATTAGTTATCTAAATACGCAACTTGACCCCCCACTGAAGTCACTTCGTATCTCTTACCGTTTCCGAGATCCCAATGGTGAGGATCTAATTTGAAACACCCTGTATAAAACTAGATCAAAATATCAAGCAAGCGTTAGACCAACGACAATGACATGTTTCGGTGAATCTTACATTTTCAATATTTGTTGTGATCGATAATCACAAATATGTATTGACATAATCGTTTCTGTCAGTAGATTTCTACGTAGCTTTGTACATCAATAAATATTTTGATATAATATATCAGAAATATAATAAATATGTTTGGATTACAATACAGGCTATTTTCAAAGTAGAGTCATTTATTTTAACATAACACCTATATAAAAGTTGCATAATAAGAGAGTTAGTTTACATTTAAAAAAAATCATTATTAAGGTAAATGGATACCGTTTTTACAAAAACTGTTCAAAATTGTCACATAATATATACACCGGATATATTTATATCCTATGTATACATATATTAGTTTTTTTTTCAATTAAAACAGCATTATTTTATCCACAAACTACTATATTTTGATCCGAACACACAAAAACTTTTGTTCTAAACAAAAAAAACTATTTATTTTACATCTATCAAAAGAAATTAAAAACGTGTAGATTTTTCTTTATTTTAATAAGATTGATATTGGCATATCCTGATCTGATGAATTGGCATCAATAATGTTTTTAGTGATTACAGTATCTGCAGAGATATAGCTGGTTCCCATGTCCATTCAAGATTGCTTTTCTTTTTGTCTATATTCTGATTCATGCACTTAAACATGAAGGCTAACTTACTGGGTTTTTGGTTTCTTAAGCGATTTCGTAAACCAGATTGGGCTAAATCAACAGATAAAAAAGTTCTTCCAATCCCTACTGTAGATGCCAATGCCGGGTGATAGTAAACCTAAAATAGTCCCCAAAAAAGTACTCTGGAAATGGGCTTACTTTTGATATAAGATCCATAAAAGATAGAACAAATGAACTGTTACTATTAAGTACTTAAAGGCTTCTCCTTATTGAGTGGAAGTTAGATGTTATCTCAAAAATCGGTGATCCGTGATGTTTGCCAAATAATGCATGGGTCCAAATGCCAGACTTTCCGAAAATGTATTTGTTTACGAGTAACATATCGTCCTCACATGGATAGCCAACCATGTATATACTTTCCCAACCCTGGAAAATACATTTCATTAAGTACAGCATTGTAAATTCCAGAAAAGGATTTGGGGTTTCTCAGAATAGGATCGTTAAACGTGAGAGTGAAAAAAACTACAGAGGCGTTCAGTAACTTTTTGGGTGTTGGAAGTGGAAGTGCTGCTACAGTCAATCCTTCGGATTGCAGCGACAAGATCCTGAAAGGATGGGGCTCTGCAGACAACCTGAATAAGGTTTGTAGGTTCTTTTGTCGGAAATTTAATATTGTTTCGGATTTGTGATGCAGAAACAAATTGGATAAATATAGCAGGTGTTGCAAATGCGACTGTAAGATATTCCAAGTCGCTTAAATGGGGGCAAAGTTGCGTATCAAAGTGCCGCATAGAGAGTTTCGAAATTCAAAGTACTTCCGGAGACAGACGGAAATAATCGAATTTTCCCAAAATGTTCCAAAATGCTATAGAACGATTGTCCTTAACCATTGCTTTGAATATATACAAGTTGGTTATATACTTTATGGAATTTGGGAAGTGTGAATTTTGACTCGAAAAATGTATAGTATATGGCATACATGGACATTACCATTGAAATTTTAATTATTAACAAAAAGCATAATTTTCTAGGTAGGCGTTGCTTCGTATACCAGATGAATTACAAAAAAAAATACCACATTGGGGGAACTCCGTACATGACTTTTTTGGATTCAGACATTTCCATGCCATTATTTTTCATCAAAACTCGCCGACTCCGATTTGATAAATGTGACACTATAAGTATAATTTACTTAATCAAGCACAATGCGAAAGGGTATCAAGGCAAATATTCAATAAACTAGCAAACTTTTGCAGGAAATGATGACAGCAGCTTCAAAAAATGGAGGAGGCAATTCGAAGAAGAAATCAAAAAGCATGAGCAAGCACGAAGTAGGCAGATACAGCAGCACTCCCAACACTCCGAGAACTCCAAACAGGACCTTCAACTCTGTTCATGGAAATGAATCCGACTCTGATTCAGCAGCTGGATTCGACTCGCATTGGAAACATTGACAACCCCACTTTGTATCATATCATTCGAATTATGTATGTATTTTTGTAAATATATTTGTAGTAATAATATATTTTTAAGCTTTCGCACATATCATTCGTGTAATTTTATCAAAATAAATGTTTTTATTTACCTATTTACAATTTTAGGAAAGATGTTTTGATTGTTTATTTTCCGTGACTTATTTAACAGATTGCTCAAATCATTTGTTATAAAATGACATGATTCGTGGACAAATGGAATATCTCTCTATATGGATTTATTATGTTATATCACGTTTAATAATAAATTATAGTTTAAAAAAACGCTTTAATATCAAATCGAACTAAAAAGTATACAATTATTTTCAACGATAATTTGGAATAAGATTCATATACAAATTGAGATATTAACTAAAAAGGCAATTATAGTAAAAAAGCGTGGGGTGGTTGATAATTATTTTTATAGTTGCTATTTACAAAATTGGCGTTATTATGAAGATGCTATTTGCTCTCACGCTTTTTTACTATACCTGAATATATGAAAACCATTTTCAACTTTTTAGTTCGATTTACTATTAAAGCGTGTTTTTTAGCTTTTTAGACTATTTTTTCCGAATTTTTAAAGCTAAATTTCTTTATAAGTGTCAAATTTTTTCGAAGACCATAAACAATTCTACAGCAGTTGTTTTGCATTCTTTGGATTCTACACGGATTCGCATCGAGTCAAGTTAAAATAAATTTAAGCAAGTTAAGGATGGACATTATCAAACTGTCGACTAACTTTTTTAGGGTTTTTAAATTTAAAATGATATCTATTAGCATACACAGCAGCATTAATTTGATGTACATTTCAATTCATATCGGACAACCCTGCATCCTTGATTAGTTGATTACTACATTAGAAAAAGTAATGATAAAGTCAGCTTGAACATAAACCTAACAAAAAAAAGTCATGACAATCCTCTAGCTAAGCTACACCAGTCGTTTTGAAGATTTCAGTGGACAAAAAACAGTTAGAAAAAAAATTAGAATTATAATCTATCAATCATGCTATTTATCACTGATAGGGATATCTGCTACTGATATTGATTCCATAAGAAGTATTTAACCAGACGTTTATTCAATATATTAATTTGACAAATGTATATTCACTGTTGGCTTGTAAATCAAAATTAGATAGAAGAGAGGAAATGTTTCTGCGCTGAAATATGAAAAGTTATTAAAATTAGTTTGGAAATTTGCTTCATGTTATTTATAAAAATAAAGATCCCATTGCAAATTTATGTTACTAATCAATACTTGACTATTTCATAAAGTCAACACTAAACCAATTGACTGGGATCATCTGGGACATTCCAAAACTGACTTGAGCCGCCATCTAGTGATCATTATTCTAGCTAATTTCATTAAGATTGTAAAGATTTCTACCTTGTTACACTGTAGCTTTGGATCTTTACGCATAGATGGTGCTAAATTTGCGGTATTGTAGTGAAGGAAAAGTTGAAGTTAACCCAATCAAAAAAAGATTCAGTTAATTAAAAGTTAGATTCAGATAATCTAAACAAATTCAAAATAAGCAAGCTCATCACAAGGTTTAAATGTCGACGTACACCATTGTCATTAGTGTCAATGTCATCTTCAACTTGGTATCTGGGAAATTTGGGAATTTCCTTTAAACAAAAATAAAAATGGTTTTGCAAACCCTTGTCAGGAATCGATAAACTATTTTACAATTAAGAAAGCCTAACAATATATTCTCAAATAGGAATCATGGCTTAACTCTCCACAACATCCTGGGTGTTCCGTTGTAAACAACAAAGTTCCTTTCGTAAATCCTTGATTCAAAGGTTGGTGTAGATGTTCATGCAAAAATAGCATAATTTCTATCAGAAATAAAGAAAACCACATTATCCCGTACAACAAAAATAACGTTGTAAAATAGGGATTGAAAACGCTTGCAAGCCATAAGAGCTCTTCAATCTTTTTGAGTGTTAGAAAATTGTCTTCTTCCACTTCTAACCGCGTTTTCTTTATATTTTGTAGAGGAAGAACAGTTGAACAAAGTGATAAGCCATAACCACTTTATGGTCAAATGATATCCATATCTGCAGAAGGAACGATTGCTGCAAGGTGCTGTTCCAACTTTGGTCATAGACAGTGCCAATAAACATACCTGAGAATAATGAAGAAACGATTGAAACTGAAAAAGAGTTTCAGCAGAGATAACTACAAAAATGATAACAACAACTTGGTACGGGCCGGCCGAGATGTCTTGTGCCTTGTACCAAGTTGAAAACATACTAGGAATATCAAAAATTTAAAATGCTTTTACTGACATGCTTCTTTAAAAGTAAATGCATATTTTAGTTATACCTACACCTCATAATTTACTAAATAGTAAAAGCTTCTTGTCTTATTAGACATTCACAGTATGTAGTATGTTACTCTTCATTTAACACCACCTAATACACATTCATTGCAAAAACATGTCTGGGACTTACGTGGTTTTTACATGCACTATTTGATGGTGGGTATTTGAATTGGTCATTTCAAAAACAGGACCGGTGTCTGTGTAAATTGGGAGGCGTAGGATGCATCTCATACATACATGTAGGTAATTTGGGGTGCTGAATTTGAATATCATCATAAAAAAAACCTCACAATAGCGTGGGGTCGAATTAGGGGTGAAAAATTTGTAACAAACTTGTGAGATTGACCTAGAAAACAAGCTTGAAAAAGGTTATTTACTTGCAACAATTTGTGGCGATTTTTTATTAGTTATTGTGATTAGTAGAATCCTATTTGACAAACAAACACCTCTAATGGGAGCAGTAGAATTTATTGGAGGATTAGAGAATTTGGGAACTGCCACCACTATGTACACAATGACACATTTTTCTAGCTCTGGTACTAATATAGTTTGCACCTCATGAATGCTGGGTATAATGGCGCCAATAAGATTATTCTCATTTGAACTGACATAAACGATGCCACAGACTCCACACGGATAAACAAAATGTTCGAAAATGAGGGTAGCTCTCTGATTCGCAGTTTGCATTTGTTGTTGTCACAGTGTGGCTACTCCTATCTCCTATGAACGAATTTTTCTCCAACAAAAAATCCTTAGTGTTTGACATGTAAATGTATAAATGTGTATCTTTTAAATCGGTTAATACAGTTGATGAAAGCTTAGATATTTCTAAATCGGTACGCAATATTTTGGCTTAACTACCGTCCAATGGATAGCACTGCAAGTATCTTGAAAGCACCTCGCAGATTTCAATGATTCATAGAAAACTCGGTAAATCCTGATATAGTTGTATAAGAGGAATCTTTGTTTTATAACAACAATAAAGAAAATGTGTAATATTACTTATGGAACACATAATATTCCAAGGAAGAATCTGAATTTGTTAACAAAAATGGGGGAATTTTAAGCCCGTCGCAGCTATTTAAGTTTGCTGAATTTGGATAATGCCTTGATATTGACATTTTCGGATTGAATGATAATGATTCGCTTTCAGCAGCCAAAAAACGTATATTCATGATTTGTTTACGTTCCACACTGACTCATCTTTTGTTCTATCTGGAAGGTAATATGCATATTCTGCTCTGCCTTGGGTTCTTCAAGTGCGAGTTTCATTCCTAAAGAGGCCACTAGAAAGTTTCTGTGTCGGATTATCTACGTTAATCATTGCTATCACAATATTGCAATGTTAGCATCAATGTGATATCCATTTCGTATTTTTGAAATTTGCTTCATGTTATTTACAAAAATAAAAATCATAATGTTAACTATTTCATTTCATTTCATTAATTCCTAACTACGCCAATGGAATGGAACAATCTAGAAAATTCCAAAACTGACTTGTCCACCATCTAGTGTGGTAATCTTCTAATTTCATTATATTCATTGTAAAGATTTCTATCTTAATATAAGGTAGCTTATGACCCTTTACGCATAGATGGCGCTAAGGTTACGGTATTGTAGTGATGAAGCTAACCCAACTAAAAAATAGATTCAGTTAATATATTCTAAATCCAATGTTAGATTCGTTTAATGTAAACCAATTCAAAATAAGCAAGCTCATCACAAGGTTTAAATGTCAACGTACACCATTCGTATGACATTTGACGTTGCACGACAAATTTGGTTGAATATTTTTGACAAATACATAATACAGTCAGGAGTTTTCTTTTTTAATCTGGTTCAACCGTAATTGTGCAATATGTATGTTGTTCATGGTGATACAGTATTAAAACGTAAAATATGAAATGTTATGAGGGAGAAATCCTAAGTTAACTACTGCTTCATTTAGGTGAACCCGTACGATTCTGTTCAATAACCAGGCCACTGAAGGGGTTACACATTTGAAGAATGTTAGTATTTGAAGGCCTGTGTGAATAATCACAAGTTTGAAGATTGGATGTGATCTAACCAATGCACATATCTGAAGAATATGATTTGGAGATCATGGCATCGTAAGTGTTTAAATAATTCAATAATCAGTGATAACGATGGTGTAAAAAGTAGTGATAAGGATGGTGTAAACCAGCTATTTCCAGAGCATCATCTCTGATGTAGTTTCAGTAAATTCAAAGCTGTGTGAACACTTTAAAATAATAATACTGTTTATTGGAGTATTAATATATAATATAATCAAAATATGAGCAAATGATATAACACAAAAAATAATACTCCAAAGGGCGGGGGATTGGTATAGCCATTTTTCACCCCTGCCTGAATAGCCAAGGTAAATTAAATGATTCATTAAATGCATTACTATATCTTACTAGGGCATATCATATACATCATATAACTGACAATAATAATGCTGACAAAACTTTAAAATATAATAATATGAATCTATTCAACCACCTGTAGATTCAAGAAATTGTAACTGTACTAGCATTCTGTTGAATTCTCTTTTAAACCTGTGAATGGATTTGGGTAATCATTTAGTATACTGGGCAGTATGTATTAGAATTTTTTTTTAATTTTGAAGTAGTGTTGGCTGGTATATTATAACAATGTTTATAATGGAGGAACAGATAGAGTGAAGATCTCTTCTGTAAAGCATCAAAAAGATATTTCAGAGATTTATATGTTAAAACCGTAAATAATTGAATGGCATAGAGAAGTAATATGCAATATTTGAACTTTAGAAGTTTTTAAATAGCTGAGATGCAAGTCAATTTAAAATGTAATAGTATCCAAATTAAGAACTTACAGAGATGTCTACTAGTAAGATTGGTGATTAACATCAAACATTTCAACATAAAATATCAAAATTATTGAACTTTGAGATATCTTGATAACTGATAGTCAACATAAAATATATATTGGAGTTAGCCACATCCACTTTAGTTATTTTGAGTATTGTGTAGAGCATAATATTTCATTGAGAATGGTTTTACTGTGAAAAAAGTTAAAAAGCATCAGATTTTTGCAAATAAAAAAATAAGTAATAATATATCTATTTCCAACTGTTTACATCTAATCACC